TGGACGGCGCTGATGAAGAATTCGCTGGAATTGCGGACGCTCCCGGAGCTTTGGGGACAGCGCAGGAGGCGCAGAGGGAAAACGTGGCCAGGAGCGCTCCCACGGGTGTCTGGCAGTGCCACTCAGCTGCTCGGGAGGAGCTCTCCCCGGAGCACGGCGTGAGCCCGTGAAACGGGAGGAATGCGAAATCCTGGGAAAAGGGACAAAAAAATTCCCGACCCGTGTCCGGCAGGCGCCTCCCGAGCAGGGTCGCAGCACCCTCGCGTGTCCCTGCAGTGCCCACTGGAGACCCGCCCTCGGCCCCACCCCGGGTGATCCGACCCCACCCACGATGGTGGGGACACCTTCGGAGCGGGGAGGGGGGACGCAAAATAGTCCTGGAATGAAGTCCACAGAATTCCCTGAATTTGGGGCAGTTTTATTCATCGTCTTGGCAGAAGAACCAAGAGAAATCAACCCTCTCCCACACTTTCGGGATGTTTTCAGCTCGCAGTGCTTTCACACCTTTATTTTTCTCTGTGTTTCAAGCAAAAAATAAAATAAAATAAAAGAAAAGAAGGCCAAGTTTGTCCAGGTTCAAAAAACAAAATCAAAATAACCCCCCAACCTTTAAAACTGGAATACTTAGAACAAGTTAAGCTCTTCAGTCAATTTAAAAAAAAAACCAAAAACAAACAAGCCCCTAAAATTCTATTCTTCTTTTAATTTTGTTGAGGGAGGAGTATTTTTCCAAGTTTTTATAGACCCAGAACAGCTGCTTTTCCCAGGTTATTTCGCTTCAGTCACCACAGCCACGTTCCCCACTGCTCCTCAGCTGCTGGAACGCTCCCAGCACAGGAGCATTTTGTGGAAAAGCAGCACCCAGGGAGCCAAACCCCAGGACTTCATGCAGGTTGTGCTGCTGCTCTCTCTGCTTTCTCGCCTCACGAGCTCCCAGCTTCTCGTTTCTTAATGTTATGACTTGAAAGATAAAGGGAAGAGTTTTATTTAGGCTGCTGTCCATGGAAAAGGCATCAGGTTTTCCATATTAACCCCTCAAGATTTACGGCTTTCCCTTTTGCCGGTGACAGTTCGGGAAATGTTCCCCCAGTTTGTTGTATTTCCACATATTCAGTTCCTGTCCTCGGTAACACCGAGACCAAAGCAGTGATTTTGTGTTTATTAAATTCATCCATGATTTATGCCCAGAGAAAGACCATTCCAAAGCCCAGAGAAATCAACAGCATCTACAGTGACCCCGAGAAAAGCCCTCTTGGGATAATCATAGATTTCATGACAGCTTTGACCGTTCAGTCTCCCTGGAAGACCTTTGAAGGAAGATCCCAGTGTGTGCTCCCATCCCATGGACCTTCCTACTGCTCATTCCAGGGCTGGAGCTGCTGGGAAAACAAAGTCCATAAAAACACCACCCTTACCCAACAGCTCATGGAATGGGCACTGGAAATCATGGCATGGTTTGGGTTGGAAGGGACCTCAAAGATCACCCAGTGCCACCTCCTGCCATGGGCAGGGACACCTTCCACCAGCCCAGGGTGCTCCAAGCCCCGTCCAGCCTGGCCTTGGACACTTCCAGGGATCCAGGGGCAGCCACAGCTTCTCTGGGCAACCTGTGCCAGGGCCTGCCCACCCTCCCAGGGAAGAATTCCTTCCTGAATTCACCAAATATTCAAGAGGCCACTGTTTGTGGGAGCTTCGGTTTTGCCTCTATTTGTCCAAAGACGATTTGGCCATAACTTCAGGAAGAGCAGAGCTGGCACAGATGTGTCTGGGTTGTCTCACCTGCTTCATCCTCAGTGTAGTTCCTCAAGGAACCAACATCAGATCCCATGACTCTGCCATAACTTTCCCTTTCACTGCAAGGAAAGAAGGGCCAGCCCTCATTTACCCAGTTCCAGGGTAAACCCAAACCTCAGCAGGCAAATAAAACCATCCCAAAACATACTCAGATTTTAGAAGTGTCGTGGTTTCTGAGGTCAATTCAGAATTTGTACACTTAGAACTACCTACACCAACAGACACCATATATATATATATATATATATATATATATTTGCTTATCAACATTGTCTTCATCTTTAAAAGCAGCATTTTGCTTTGCTGCCAAAGAGACTCATCACCCAGCCACACCAGACTGGGATTTCTGCCTCTTTCCAGCAAGTTTTCCGTTTCTGGCTCTCAAGTTCTGACCAAAAAGGCAATTTTTCAATCATCAGAGAATGGGTTTGGCACTTAGGGTTTAGTGCCCTGTAATGACGTCTTTAAAGCTGGAGAGTTGAAGTGTACTTAAAACAATAAAAAAGAAAGCTGGGCCAGAAAAAAAGAGCAGCTGAGAAACTTATTGGAACAAAATACATATTAAAAAAAAAAAAAACCAACAGGCTTTTTATCTTTTAAACACTCAAATAATTCTGTCCAACTGCAGTAACGACTGAAACCTTTTTTTTTTCTTTCCATCGTCTCGTTCTGAACACACCTTTAAAACAAACCACAACAATGGATGGAGCTTCCTGCACCCACTTCCTGCTCTGAGCCCTTCGAATTCTTTGAAATAAATATGTTTTGGGTTATTTTTGTGAGGGCAACGTTTAGTGTGTGCCCCCCCCCCCCAACCCTCAGTGTGTAAATGTGTGGAATACACCAAAGATTTAACATCTGCTCCCAATAACTTTACAGAGGCTCTCAAGTTCTCTAAAGGTTATTAGGATATTGTACAGGTGGCCAAATTATTAAAATATGGTTTAAATTCAACACTCGTGCACGTTCATAACGTGGATTGGATGTGAAAGTCTGGAAGCCACATGTGGATGCTGGAAAACACCAGGCTGGCTCCCTGGAAGTTCCGACATTAAAGGCCACTTCCCAAACATTACAGCTGTGGCAGCAGCACCCCCCAGGTGCGAGGGATGTAAAATCCAAGGAAAGCCACTTTTCCTTCCAGACAAGTGACCTTTTCCAGCAGCATTCCAGCACTGCTTTCTCTGCCCCGCACTGATCAAGTCAAGACCTTCCCCAACTGGGCTCAATTTTGCCAAGCACCAAGTGCAGAGCCAGACAAGTGCTTTTGATCCTGCCTCTTTTGTTCAACAAGTGAAAGCTGAGTGAGGGAAAAACCAAATAAATGTGATGATTAAAAAGCCCTGCCCGTTCTTGGCAGGTGAGACTCGGTGTTTGTTCCTGGTTTGGGGTTGTTTTGCGAGGAAGGAACGGGAACCTCCTGTCGGCATCACCTGAGATCTCCCCCTGGCCACGAGGAGGACGTGAGGATGATCAGAGGGATGGAGCCCAGGAGGGAGAGGGACAGTTTTATCCAGGCAGAGAGGGACAGGACAAGGGGGAATGGTTTTAAACTGACAGAGGGCAGGGTTAGATTGGAAATCAAAGGGAAATTCTCCCCTGTGAGGGTAAGGAGGCCCTGGCACAGGGTGCCCAGAGAAGCTGTGGCTGCCCCTGCATCCCTGGAAGTGTCCAAGGCCAGGTTGGAGCAATCTGGACTAGTGGAAGGTGTCCCTGCACATGGCAGGGGGTTGGAACAAGATGATCTTTGAGGTCCCTTCCAACCCAACCCCTTCTGTGATTCTGTGAAGTACAAGACTTGCTGCTTTAACTAAAATAACATCAGAGACAGCTGAGCTTGAACCAGAACAGAGTCAAAAACCATCTCAAAACTGATACTAAATTTGATCTCCAGCACTGACTTGGGGGAACATTTTCACCCAGCTCTTTCTTAGACAATTATTGAATTGGAAGTTAGTGGAAAAGTGAAGCATTCACACTTAATTTTTAACGGTAAGATCTCTGCAAAGAGCCTTGTAAGAGATGAAATCCATGTCCCATAAACATAGCAAATGTGCTTCCCACAACACAAAGTCTATTTATAAACCCCCTCCAGATTATTTTTTGTTAAAAAAAAACTACTAAATTTTAATAGTTGCTGAAAGGAAATATTTCCCACTTGGAAAAAGAAAATCAACAGCCTGATGGAGCTACGTTGGGAACTGGGAATTCTGGAGTCAGGTTGGGCAGTTCTGCACCAACACTTTGTCAGGAACGAAGAGAAGAACTGCTCGTTTCTGGCAGCAGAAATCAAGCAAGGCTGTACATTCACTGTTCATCTGTTCAAACTGCTGCCTTCAGTGATCCTGACTGTTATTATTATTATTATTCATTCCCCTTTTTTGTTCATTCCCTACGAAGCAGCTTTAAAATCTCCGGGGCCGACAGAAAAAAAGATGATTTTTATTTCACGAAAAGGGATCCAAGTCAAGATCTGATGGCACTGAAAAGAAAACCAATCATTAATCTCTCCTACTTTCAGTTTGTTCTTAGCTCATTTCCATTTGTCGGTGTTCTTGCCACAGAACATCTAAAAAAAATCAGGAAAACGAGGTTTTGTTCAAGAACAAAATTCTTGCCTTTTTTATAAATATGAATTTTTTTCTAGTGCCTAAAGGGGCTGATAAAAAGGAGGGAGAGGGGCTTTTTGTATGGGCAGATGGTGACAGGACAGGAGGGAATGGTTTTAAACTGATTAAATGATTTTAAACTGAAGGAATCCTTCCCTGTGAGGGACAATGGGAGCAGAGTGGCACCAAGATCACTCTCCTGCCATTCCAACAGGGAAATTTTGGGGACAAATTCCCATAAATCCCAGATTTCCTGGCTTGGCCATCACCTTTCCCTGGGTGTGCACAGCCCTGTCCTCACACACCTGAACTGCCCAGGCCCCAACGTGTTCCCAAGCCTAAAGCTTTAATGAATAGGATTTAATTAATTTAATTAATAGGATTTAATTCCAGGACTTTCAGGGCAGGCACATCCCCTTGGAGGGAGAACTTTTGAGGATTGGGAAGGCACATCTCCCTACAAACACACCCTGCAGCAAGACAGGGCAGAGGCTGAATATTTGGAACACACCCAGCAGAGCAAAGCTCAGAATCACCTCAAGAAGGTCCCAAGTGGCTCAGATGATTTTAAAAACTGGGAAAAACAAAACAAACAAAACTCTTCCAATCAGTTTATTCTCCCTGGTTTCATTATTTGCATTTAGCAAAAAAAGCCCTTAAGAAAACAAGCCTTAAACCACCACATTTCAGACACACAGGCAAGAATGAACTTTCCCCCCCACCCCAAAAAAGATTTGAAGCCACCTGGCGCATCTGACAAGTTTTAAATTTATGGACTCGTACAAGTATTAAATTTATTATTATTAATATTGTGAGAAATAAGAAAAGCCTTCTTGCAGGCTCTTGGTGGGTACTGGGGAGCACAGAAAGGGACAAAAAAAGAGCAGCAACATTCAAATATGAAAAAAAAAACCCTTCACATCTGATGAGATCCTTGAGCATCATCAGTTCTGAGTCCAGAACTACTTAAGGGGTGAATGAGCTGCTTCCTACAAGAAATTCCGGAAAAAGACAGAATTTTAAATTAAAATACCCATGGAATTCTGGAAAAAGATAGAATTTAAAATTAAAATATCTTATTTCACTGCCCTATGGGACTGACTTACCACATCCTACACAAAACACTTGCAGCTATGCAGGAATAATTAACCCTGGAGGAATAATAATAATTAACCCTGGAGGAATTCTGCCCATCCACCAGTTTTTGGTGTCATTTCATCTCCCAAATTGCCGGTGTTTTGTTTGCTGCTTTTTCCTCAGGGTGTTTAAAAGAGCATTCTCACACCTCAGCATAAACCCAGGTGGTAAAAAGTGAATTATAGAGAATAAAATAACTGTTCTGAGACGCTGCCAACTGCCTGGGTGATCACACCAACACCAGAAATGCAGTGACACTTCCTACAAGAGCCTGCATTTTTATCCCTGAAGATATTTTTTTTGTTATCTACCTTATTTATTACAAATCAAACAGGTACAAGTAATAAAATGGTGCAGCCAACGTGCAGTTCCAAAAATCCAGCAGCGTTTTTAAGTGACATTTTCTTGCTTCTCTGCAACAACACGGGCAGCAATTTAAAGGAACTGAGCCCTCCAGTGTAAATCAAGAGTTAAACTCAGGGAGCAGAATTCCCTGGGAGCAACAAAAATACTGCCTGTGATCCTGCAAGCCCCTTTCCCCAGGTTATTTCAGTCTTTAAAAGGTGTTTTCCACACTTCACTCACTGGATTTTTGGTGTCAGACACACTCATTAAAAAAGGATATGCAGACACACGAAGAAAATTGGATATATTTATGGATGGAAAAGGGCACAGGGTGTGTTTTCTCCATCACAGCCAAACCTTTAAAGAGCATCAGGTATTAGAAAATACCCTGTGACTGAAAATAAGAGTAAAAAATAGGTGTTCTTGTTGGATACAGACGGGATCCCTTAACTGCATTTCCTCTTTTCCATACAAAAGGAGTTCATCCGTAATTTATCATTTATATTTGGGTAAGACAATCCCTTCAGGAGGAGAACAAAGAGCTGCTTTTCCTACTGAAAATATCTTTGCTAAAGCCACTCCAGCAGAAAGTCTCCCAAGCCCTGCAGAAGGAATCCACCTGTTTTGCAGCCACTGAAGCTGAAAGCAGCAAAAAATGAGAAGTAAAAACCTCCTGGAATTTATTCTACTTTTAAAATAATAATAATAAAAATAATTAAAAAAAAGAAAACAACAATAAGATTCCCAAAAGTCTTCTGCAGAAGAAACTGGAGTTTGCAAAAGTGCAGCCTGTGGCACCAAAGTCCCTGTTAAATGTAGATATTATTGTGACTTTCAGTGGCCGTCAGGAACTTCTTCAACATCTTCGTGCTTTCAGATGCATCCTGGAAAAGGGGAGAGGTGCTCGGCATTAGCCACATTCCTGGCAACAAAACCAACCCCCCCAAAAAAAAACCCCCACTATTCCCATTTTTATTCCTCTGAATAGCAGCTTTATTAAAATATTAAGTGGATTAAAAGAGTAATTGTGAGTAAAACCTGCAGGTTCATCACTGCTGAGAGCACAGATGGCACAGCAGGTACAATTCCAGCAATCACCTCTCACTGAAATCTGTATTTTTCTGCCTTTCCACTTGGAATCCTCCCCAGCAGCAGAACTCAGACCAAACCAGCCCAGTAATTTTGAAATGTGGGTTTTTTTTACCTTGACCAAACTCTTGAGGACTTCAGAAGAAAGCAGAGGCTTGAAGGCCTCGATTGTCACGGTGTCCAGCTTGATGACGTCAGTGTAGCACTGGTAGAGCACTGCAGGGATCTGCCACACCTGGCAGTAACTCAAAACTGAACCAAAACCAAAAGAAAAACGGGGGTTTGATTCCAGCAGGGAAGGGATCTCAGCTCTGTGCAGAAATATGACAACTTGAAAGGGGTGGAAGTTTATAAAGGAACTGCTCCAGCCACCCCCCATCCCACAGGGAAAGAAAACTCCAAAAACAGTTGGTGTTTCCTCCTGGCAAATATTTTAACTGGAAACTGCATGTTAGTGGTAAATAAACTGTGTATGAAACTGGAAAATGTGTATTGTTGGTAAATGAAAATAGTGTGAACAAGCTAAAATCATCTACTTTCAGCTCCTGCCAGACCAGTTTTTCCTCATGTTGCTGTTAATTTATTCTAAAGTAAAAGCCTGGGGGGGGTTATTAGATTATATAATAAAACTGGAGCTAATTTTTGCCTGAGGCCAATCAGAAGCATTTTGAAAGATCAGCTCTAACACACAGAAAGAAATTTATGAGCTTTTACTTTGGATGCTCAGATGAAAGTAATTCTTAATAAAACCTACTTAATTGTAAATAACTGGAACTGTAAATAACTAGAATAGTAAATAACTGGGATTGTAAATAACTGGGATTGTAAATAATTGCCAAATACCAGCAGCAGGGAGGTCCCTCACAATGTTGGGCTGTTCCAGCAGTGGGCAGCAAACCTGCTCCTGGAATTCTTTGGTCTTCAAGGCTTTCAGGAACGGAGATGCAAGCGTTAAAGTGGATTCCTGAGTTTTATAATCAGCCACGGGGCACGTGGAGAGGATGGTTACCTGCAACCCTTCCTTCTGCATCGAGCCAAAAACCTGGAATTGAAAGAAAAAGACATCAGGAAAATTGATCTTCTTGGTAACAGCATTAAAAAAAAAAAACCACCCAAATATTAATTTTCATTTCAGAGCAAAGGATGGTTTAACTCAGGTTTGCAGGACAATTTGGATCAGAAATTTTCAGGTAGAAATTTCTGCTCTTGGGATGGACATAAAAAATCCCCAAACAAATCACACAAAAGAACAGCTAAAATGTTTACCAAGTCTAGTGATTTTCTGGAGGTTCTCTTTTAGGTTTTCAGCACTTTCTGTTCACCTGCAAATATCTCAATACTCACTATTTTTGTTCGTGGTGGCTGTGGGAAGAAAAAGGACTCCAAATGAAAGCAGGCAGCTCCTTGAGCTGCAGGACCTCTGAGATGGAAATTGTGCCTTCCAGCTCCTCTACAACATCCTAAGAGCCTTTATTTTAAACCACTTCATTTTAAATACTCAGATTTTATTTCATTCAAGCCGAGTGGAGAAAGAGAACTTGAGATATTTAAACAAAGAAAGCCACTGGGAAAAGTTATTTCCAACACTGGCACGTTCAGATTATCAGATAAAAAGGCCCTTGCTGGAGATCCCCACCCCTAAGATTTCATCACTCAGTTTGTTGTCTTGCCAGTTTTACCTTCTCAAGCCACTGGAACTGCTGATCCTCAGCCACGTAGCAACTGCACTGGCACAGTAAAACCTTAAAAAAATAAAAGAATGGTGTAAACAAATGGTTTAAAAAGCACAACAACAGCTCATAATCCCGTGTAGAAGTGATGTGGCTGCAGACAACAGCTTGTTCAGTTATTTGGTTTTTTTTTTAAACTCTATTTCAACAAGGATTTGTCACTTTGGACTGAACTTCACACAGAAAAAATTCATGTAGTTTTAGTGAGCACCAACCCTTGAGATTATTTATGAGATCCACCCAGAACCCTGCAGCCTCAATGGCTCAAACTGCTCCTGCTTTAACAGAGCTAAACATTTTATTTAACAGAGCTAAATAAAGCCCATTTGAACACAAGTTTGAGCCACTCACCGTGGGGTCTGATATTAATCTGTAGAACAGGCAGAAGGAATCGGTGGGGAGGACGCTGGTGGTGCTGGATGTTCGACACCACTCGTTCCAGAGCTTCACAACTCCAACCACCTCCCAGCACACAGAATCCAGAATGAAAGAGGACAGGAAAGCTGCAAAACCCCCAGTAATCACTGTTAATTTATTAAGTAGTGAAATCTCTGCTGTGCAAATATATTCATCAATCAAATTCCCAAAAGCTACAGAAGGCAGATCCAGAGTATCTATCAGCATTTTTCAAGGAAAATCTGAACAAAAACCAAACAAGTTAACTTAGATATGAAATAGGAACTGGAATGTGAAAAAGGGATTGACTGAGCAAAAAACCAAAAGTTTAACCCCCTCCCAAAAAAGAAACAAAAAACAAATCACTGCTCATTAGAAATTAAAGAAATTACAGCTTACTGCCCCATATTTGACAGATCCCTGTTTCACAAGACTAGACTGCACTGAGCAACTCACTACTATTAGCACAAAACTTCTGCCAATTAAAGGATAATCCAGCAGAGTTTACCAAACAAAAGCCAGGTAAAGGGAAAAAGGGGCTGTCCCGAATAAAACCCCAACCCAAAACGTACTTGGCTTCTGCCCTTCAACTGAAAACAACATCAATTTTCATGAGGAATAAAGAGCTGGAACAAAAAGCGTGGTTTTTATGTACAAAGTTCAGTCTCTCTCTGCACAACTCGGCTGTCCCTGGGTTAAAACTCTGCTCCCAAATGAGGAGCTGGACAAGCAGTACCCGAAGGGGGTTTACAGGAGGGGTGGAGAGGGGCTTTTCACCATGGCACGGAGTGACAGGACAAGGGGGAACGGCCTTAAGCAGGAGGAGGGCAGGGTTAGATGGGATACTGGGAAGGAATTCTCCCCTGTGAGGGTGGGGAGGGGCTGGGATAGAAATCCCAGAGAAGCTGCGGCTGCCCCTGGATCCCTGGAAGTGTCCCAGGCCAGGCTGGACGGGGCTTGGAGCACCCTGTGCTGGTGGAAGGTTCCTCCTCCAAACCTCCCGCCCCCACAGGGACCAGCAGCGTGCCCGGCCCCCACTCGGGCCCGTCCCACACCCACCTGCCGCGTTCCGCCCGATGGCCACGACGAAGCGGGAGCACACCAAGGGCTCCGGGGCCAGCCCGCTCCACAGCACATCGACCTCCCTGCGGGAACAACCACACAGCGTCCCCATGCTGGGAGAGAGGGACCCGCCGGCATCACCCAGCCCAATCCAACCCCCGGCCCTGCCCAGGACACCCCAACACTCCCCCTGTCCCTCAGAGCGTTGCCCAAACGCTCCTGGAGCTCTGGCAGCCTTGGGGCCGTGCCCACTGCCCTGGGGAGCCTGGGCAGTGCCAACCACCCTCTGGGGGAGAACCTTGTCCCGACCCCCGCCCTCAGCGGCGCTGCCCCCTCCCCTCCCCGCCCGGAGCCGCCCCCGCACCTTTTCTTCTCCAGCTCCCTGCGGATCTCGCGGTCCTCGGGGGTCTCCTCCCTGTCCTCCTCCTCCTCGTCCAGCCCGGCCCGGGACGGGGCCACCACCACCTCCCCGAAGAAGGTCGCCATGGCCGCCCCGCGCCTGCGCGGCCCCGCCCCGGGACACACGCGGGATCACGGGATCGTCCACGGGAAGGGACATTCCCGTCACCCGAGCGGGATCGTCCACGGGAAGGGACATTCCCGTCACCCAGAGCGGGATCGTCCATGGGAAGGGACATTCCCGTCCCCAGAGCGGGATCGTCCATGGGAAGGGACATTCCCGTCACCCAGAGCGGGATCGTCCACGGGAAGGACATTCCCGTCACCCAGAGCGGGATCGTCCACGGGAAGGGACGTTCCCGTCACCCAGAGCCGCCCTCACCCCGCGGGATCGCCCCGAGCCGCCTCCCCGAGCGGCGCCTTCCCGGCCCCGGCCAGCTCGTTACTGTCCCTACCCACCCTTTCCGCGAAGGAATTTTTCCAAATATCCCATCTAACCCCGCCCGGCTCCACCTGAGGCCGTTTCGCCGTGTCCCTTTTCCTCCCCCCCTCCTGGCAGGGATTGCAGAGCCAGAAGGTCCCCCCTGAGCCTCCTTTTCTCCAGGCTGAGCCCCCCCAGCTCCCTCAGCCCCTCCTGCTGCTCCAGCCCCTTCCCAGCTCCCTTCCGTTCCCTGCACACGCTCCAGCCCCTCAGTGTTCTCCACCAGCACCCCCAGGGCCTCTCCCATCCCCTCTGTCCCAGCCTGGAGCAGTCCTGGGCTTGTTTCGACCCCAAAGCCCTCGGACAGGTTGCAAAGAAGAGCACAGTGACATGACGGGTGTATGAACAGCTTTACTTTGGTCCACTAATAACATGTACATCATAAAAGTCTCCAATACTAAAGAATTTTGATTCCTTTATGATTCTGTCCTGCACTTTCTTACTCTTTCCCTCCATTCAATGCTGCCTGTTCGCTATCACAGATTCAGGTCCTGCTTTAAAACAAACAAAAACACCCTCCAAAGTCATTATTAAATAAAGATCCTACTTTTACATTGCTTTACTTCCCTGAGTACAGCTGGACCAAACCAAGAACCCTGACTGACTAAAAACGACCAGGAAGGTGAAAGAACTGCCAGTTCTGCCAAGAGTCAGCATGCTCATTTAAATAAATTAAAAATAAATAAACTCTCAGAAGCTCAAAGGGTCAATAATCCCTTTCCAGTTTAACCATTCCCCTTCCCACTGGCTCTTTGGAACCTGTCTGTGTGTGTTAAAATTAGGAAATAAAAAGCAAGCATGTGCTTTGCTTGGAAAATATAAGTGTTAGGGTCCCTAAGCCAGTGATTCCCTCTGGGACACACAAATCCTGAGGAGAAAAACCTTCTCCCAAAGCTCTCAGGGATCACCAGGACCACGTGGGAGTGCAGGACTGACAGGACACAGCATCTGAGAAAGGGTGAGGAAGAAAACCAGCTTAGTAAATCTAAGCCTGAACTAGAAATACAAACCTCCCAGCCCAGTTTCGGCTGTTTATAAACTGGAAATTAAAATTAAACACTCTGCCATTCCCTTCAGAGCTCCTGTACCAGCATTTCTGCCCATGGTGGGGGTTGTACTCCACGGGACACTGATCCCAAGCAGCTGCTGAACAATGCAGCTCATGGAAAATAGAAAAATACCAGTGGACTTAACACTCTTTTTAACAAAGTTTGCCCCTAAAAGGCAAGATTACACAAACCCACCTTGAAACTTCATCACTAAACACAACCGTGTTTGTGTTTCAGAAATGAAATCACCAATCCAGATAAACATTTATCTTGAATTTAAAAAACTCTGTTTGCACCCTTTGTTCAGGGCTATGCCCTAAATAAAACTTCCTGGGGCAAAAATGATTGAAACTTAGGTTCTTTTTGAACTTCAGATTGAAGCTTTAAAGGGAAAGAAAAAAAAAAAAAGAGTATTTCTCTGTGCTGAGATAACATTCTGGAAAGCAGAGTGATGTCAGAATCCTCCACCTCAACCTTTCCACGCATAAAGAAAACAGAACAAAGTGTTTTGTTTGGTTTTTTTTTTTTTTTTTCTGTTTTATAAAGAAAACACACAAAAACCCTTCGGCCCAAGAGTTCACCTGCATGTCATAATCTCAAAAGTTTACAGTATAGAAGTCACATTAATGATCAAAGTACTACCTGTCAGCAGAACCCTCCTCACCAGCACCAAGAGCCTCTGGAATTGGCAAATTCACCTCTTCACTGGTAACTGGGCATCAGTAATGGAAGTACAGAACATTTTAACATCTGCACTGAACCAAGTTGTGAAGTTATCAGCCCTCTCACTCCTCCTTTGATGCAAGGCTTGCATCCAACCAGGTTTTTCTAGTGTGTGTACTATTACTTAGGAGCCTGTTACTATTGTAGATGATGTCATACAGCATTGAGAGATGTCTGAAATCTGTTCTTGAATGTTGCATGACCTAGGTAGTATTTCATTGCAGCACCCATAACAATAATACTCAACATACTGCTATTAACCTGTTTGCAGTGTTTTTAACATCTTTTAACTCTCGTTATATGTAATAAAATACCAGTAAAGACAAAAAAAATTGCCCCTATAATGAGGCACATTTTGGCATCTGTGCTAAATGCTGCTACATGGGCAGGCAAGTGCAAGTCAAAAAATACGAAAAGGAGAAAAGTCATCATCAGCTAAATCACATTCGTAACTTTTTCATAGAAAAATATAAATATATTCCCTGAAATGTAGGACGAAGAAGAGCCAGCAGCCGTCGGAGGAGTTCTAGTGCTATTACCATTAAAAAAAAAAACCAAAAAAACAACAAACAACAAAAAAAAACAATAAACCAAAGAAACGAAAAGGGGTGGTGCTGGCTTTCCTTGGTTAAGGTCACGTGTCGCCGTCGTCGTCACCGTCATGGTACCGCACAGTCCTCCTGCCGCCGCTCCGCGTGCGCATCTTGGAGCGCCGCCTGGCCCCCCGGCCTCGGGGGTATTCCACCTCTTCCCACTCCTGCTCCTGGCTGCCTTTCCAGCGTTTCCTCCGCTGGGCTCTCCTGGAAGGCCTCAGGGAGTTGGGGACGGGGGTTTCTTTCCTGCCGGTTCTGGGTTTCCTTTTCCTCTTCCTGCTTTCCGTGGCGTCGCTGCACACGCTGTTGGCAGTCCCCGAGTCCGAGTCGGAGGAGCAGTTGAAGCTGCCTTTGGAACTTCCCGCGGTCCCAGGTGCTTCCACGTCCTCTGACACCGAGCTTTTCTCCTCTTTCTTCCCCCTGCTTTCAGATTCTGCTGTTTCTTTGGAGCCAGCCAACAGTTTGGATCTTTTGGAAGAAGCTCGAGATTTTTTATTTGCTGCTACTCTGGGAGTTTTAGTCTCGGGTTTAGCTACATCAGAATCCACCTCCTCTTCGGAGTTACTCGTACAGTGGTTGTGGGCTGAGGATGCTTTCCTAGAAACCCCCCAGCTCCCCCCATTTTCCACCCTGTGGTTGGTGGAATTCTCCTCGGAAGAGTCACAGTCCAGATTATTCAGCGCCCCAGCACAGGCTGATTTACGCGCCCGCCCGCGGTCCTGCTTTGGAGTCTCTGCCTCCCAGTCAGTCCTTTCATTCTCAGACTCACTGATATATTTCCTTTTAGGAGCAGATGACTCAGGGCAGGGAGGTTTTTTCCTACCAGAAAACTGCTCTTTCTCATCCTCAGACCTCAGAGAAGCATCTCCCTCCAAGCTGTCCACGAGCCTCTTCCTGCACCCCCCGGGCGCGGCGCCGCCTTGGAGCTGCCTCCGGTTCTTCCTCCCCGTGCAGACGCTCTCGGAGCTCGACAATTCCTCCTTGGCATCGCTCAGGATCTTGATTTTGTTGGCTGCCAGGGTGGCACACCTGCGGGGGTTCTTCTTCTTGTTGGACATCTTGATGTGCTTCTTGTAGTTGATGATGCAGGTCCTGCTCCTCAGCACTTTCCTGCTCGGTTCCGTCTCCTCGCCGGCCGATTCTGCAAAATGAAAATGGAAAAGTTCTTTTTAATCCCTCACACCCCCTGAGATAATCAGTTTATTAACCTTACACTCTGGGTTCACATGCAGAGAGATTTAAACCCTTCAGTGACTTAAGGGACTTGAACACTCAGATTGCTGCTGACAGCGAATCTTCCACTCAGTAGTTGGATTTTTAATACACGACTTCTGATGTTGGGCTTTAAAACCGATTTTCCATCTGTAAATGCTGTGAACGATGCTGTGTGAAGATCAACGGTAAAGAATTATTCATATGTCTCAATTAAAATCAAAAGCAGAAGTTCTTGAAGTAAATATAAAAAAATAAGAGGGAAAAGTTATGGGACATAAATTCCAGCACCAGTATTAACAACCTCTTCATACACCAAGTCTGGTCCTTATTTCAGTGTAAATCCTTTCATGGAATACTCAGTGTATCCTTATTTTGACACTGCCAAAGGATAATTCACCTCCTGCTGAATACTGCAAAATATTGTAGAAAAAGTGAATCATTCACAGAATAAAAAAAATAAAAGGGTTAAATCTTAATAATATTGGAGGAGAGTGTATAATTTAAGACTAAAGATTAAGGAGTGGCAGAATATTAAATCCATATTTTGTATCCAAGACCTTAAACTGGGAACAAATCTGTATGATAAAGTTCAGTGAAATTCCACACTGACCATCCTGAATTCAAAGCTGCAAAGGGACAAACAAGGAAGAAAAGGGGGAATATTAAACCAACTGCCCACAAAAACTGGGAGAGAGATGGGGAATTTCTCATTAATGGAGAGTTATTTGGAGTTAATGATGGGGAATTCATCATTAACTCCAAACCTGGAATACTGGGTAGGAAAATCCAGCCACAGCTCCATCAGCTCATCTGCATTTTATACATTAAAATATACTGCATGTTATATAGATATATTTAAAAAAACCCAACAACAGAAGTAAAGTTTCCACATAAATTGTTTAGCTGGTTAATTGTGCACTATATATATGTATATGTATAAATATCTTCCCTCTTTGTTGTATTAAGTCTCAAAGTAATGGTCCAGGACTCAAAAAACTCCCCCTTTTCTTCTGCTCCCAATTTCCCAGCTGGATCCTTTCCCA